TAACATGACTACAAGCTTAAGTATTAGCGATGATTATCCATTAACAACCTATATTTCCTAATTATACATTACATTTTTAAATGAACTACACAATCACAATACCTTAATCAAGATCAAAAATACATATACATATAACAAAATTGACCATAAAATCCATACCAATGCAAATTATTCATATCTATATCATATCCCCCTTTAAATGTAAAAGAACATTTATAAACAATATTTGGGAACATGGGCGTAGTTTTTTCTCTACAAACTGCTTCCTGCTGAATAGGGGCGTCGTTAATTAGGTTGTTCATGATATAACCTGTATGCTAGTTTTATCTCAGTTGGCAATTGACACTCCCACATCAGAAGAGGATTTTGGATATCCTGACGTTGGAGTTTCAAGTGGCTGTGAGCTGCCCAGTGTGGGTGCTGGAAACTGAGCTATGGTTCTTTGCAAGTGCTCTTAACTGCTAGGCTGTCTCTTAAAACATGCAAAATGACTTTTGTTGATGCTGGTTTTCTTAGTTTAAGGACAGTGCCACATAGAGAAGACAATACTAACCATTATACCACTTTTCATGTTTTGTTACTCTGCCAACTGTGAGCCACACTGACTTGAGGCCTGTGGTAGACTGAATACCTCTAGCCGCTGACCTTCAGTCTTACTCACTGACAGTGCCAAATGCCTAGGCTAGCATAGGCTGTGGGGTTCTATGTGGCTCAGGGTATAAAACAGAGAGTACCTTTCAACCCTGTGTCTTTCCTTACATCAATGTAGTCCCCAACTATGAAGTGTGAGCATTATATTCAGCAATATGTCTATAAAACTGACTGTGTAAAGGCCCTGAGCAAGGAAAGAGAGGCTGTGGTGACCTGTAAATGTTTGCCATAGCATTTACTCTGTGCGCCACCAAGCCAGAATAGCCCACTGGGAGAGAGTACAGGTCAGGGCCACCCCTATCTGGAGTTTTGGCCTGAATACCCTCAAATTGAGAGTTCATCCGTGGGGTGAGATGTAGCGAGCCTCTCATAATGTACTCGAAGGGCTATGAGTTGTACCTGTTGTATCTATTTTTGGAATGCTTGTTTCAGCCTTTGGAGAACGCATGGGCCAAAAAGACAGATCAATAAACAATAGCCATCAGCCCAATTAGGGAAGAAATGAGTATGGCAAGCCATGGGGACCAATTAAACCAGGTCTCAAAGGGGGTCCTTGACTTAAATGAATCAATATCTTTTCTTAACTCATCTAGGGTTCTTGTGACTATCCCAGAATGGTCCACATAGAAGCAACATTCTTCTCCAAGTGACCTGCAAATTCATCCCTGTTCCATAAACAACAAGTCCAAGCCTCTCCTATTTTGTAAGGTTACTCTTGCTAAAGAATCCAAAGACTTTTGTAAATAACTTGATGCAGTCTCTGCCTTTTCTAATTATGTCACCCAGTCTGCTCACATCCTCAGGAAGAACAATAGTAATCAGGAGCTGCCCCGCAGTTTCTAATAGCAGAGGCAGTCCGGTTGCTTCCTGGGCATACATAAAAACGTGTCTGCAGGAAGGCATGTCTCCTGAGGACATTAGAACACCCAGGCTCATTATGGTAAGATGCCTGAGGTAGGGTGCACCCCTGAGAACCTCTGCATTCAGGTCTCCCTTCCATCCCCAGAATCCAGTCTCCCACATCCCGGTTCCCTTGCGCCAAATCACAGAGGTCAAACATCAGGTCAGGCCACAATGTCCAGGGTGTCGTCATCTGAGAAGTCTGGAGGTTTAGGATCCTTCCAGTGCCAGCACTTGACAAGATCCACGTCACCTTCTGTGGTTGGTGGGGGCTTGCTGCCTGGACCTTGGTCCCCATGAGAAGAGTTAATATGATTACTACCGGGAGGGCCATTTGAAATAGATAAACAGGCAACACTCTCCTCAAGGGTCAGTCTCCCTTGGGCAGTAGTAATTTTTCTTTTCTTCTGTTTGAATTTAATGTCCACCATAATCTCTTTCTTTCTTTATTGGTCATCTTGGTCTTCCCCACTGTCCTGAGGGGAGTGGAGAAATTTTAAGTTATG